CTTAAATGCTTCCAGCATACGTGCCATAACATTTTGCAGTGTGGGTAGTTGCGCCCACCACATGTCCACTTGCTTCTTGTAGTACCGCTCCGCGGTTCCGGACAGGTAGTGTCCCAACAGGTCCACCTTCACGTCCTCAGACCACCAGAACCCACAGGCTGACTGCGCAAGCTGTACTTGGCGCTCGAAACGGCGGCCCCACTCCAGGAAACCCGAGCCTAGCCCAACGTACAATTATTTTCCATCGAATGGGCGTATCGACAACTCCTTCTATCGAGCATCTGGATACCGTGCAGGCGTCCCTTGCTGCACTGGATAGCCGCCAGCACCATCTTGCACTCGTGCATCTTGTGGCTGCTGGGGCCCTGGTCCAGGTCGATCACCTTGGCCGCCTTGCGCTGCGGCAAATAGCCGCTGTAGATCAGAGAGTGGTACACCGTAACCCACCTGGTGCTGCCCGAAATACTGCGGTGGCGGCGCCGGTCGGCGTGGTGCTGTCGTGAGCGGGGTCTCTGGGGATCCCGCCAGCGAGTCGATGTGCATACGTGTCACACGACCTAACCCCGATGCGAACAAACTCGAGTTCATCGGCGGCGTCATGAGTGGGTCGGCGGTGCGCGCGCGCTTCTCTCCGTCACCCAACCTTCTTTCGATCTTCGTCTGGGACTCTTTGAGCTTCTTGAGTCTCCCAGCGAGACCGCGCATGATCTCCAACATCTCTGATGCTTGGTCATTACCGACGGCTTGGCCTTGGCCGTTGGTATTGGTACCGTCACCCCTTTCGTGAGTGACGGTGGTGCTCTTCTCTTCTATCTCTTCGGCCATACCGATCCTTTCGCGACCGGTAGCGGGTGCTGGCGTTGACGCTGGTGCGACGTCGCGAGCGACCTCATCTATGGCATCGTTCATCGGGCTCAAAACCTGTTCAAAGTGCTGGACCCTCGGGTCAGCACCTTCGTGTGCAACGCAGTCGTGGATTCCAACGCAAAAGGGAGAGTGAGATTCGGTCTTACTCTTCCTATTCTTCCTATCCTTACTGTCTTCCACGTGGAGGTCTCACAGGTTCACGTATTCCGCTCCATACGTACCACGCTCCAGCCACAAACCTCCGGCAGTAGCAGCTGCTCGTCGTTCCCACGTCCAGAGTGATCCCGCGCACGTGCATCATCTTCCAACACTCTTCCCTCATCGTAGGGGGGGGGAGGTGGTATCAAACAGAGCTCGCAAACGGGTACCCGAGTTTCGGTTTCGGATTGGACACGGGTACCCTAACCGTGATGCAAAATTCGATATGATCGACTGGGTAAACCGAGATTTGTCATTTGCGAACTTTGTACTAGTGGATGCATATCGTGCCAACAAACAATAACTAGATTCGCAACTCGATCGAGAGTTGCGACGCGTATTCTACAAACAAATTAATCAACGGCTTGAAGAAACGTGGTCTAAATGAAGGATAGCATCAACTTAAAGCTAGTGGATTAGAGCTCCTGGATTTAAAACACTATGACACTCACACCGATGAAGATGGGTCAGTCTTGATCTACGATGCTATCCGGATGGAGCTACGTTTCTCTAACGTGGAGTCTCATGAGTCGATCTGACTCATTCGACACGGTTATGCTACAACACATTGTGTGGAGTGATTACTGCCTTACTGTGTAGGAACAAGCCATAAAGGGGATCAAACTGGTGCGGAAACATTTGAAAAAAAAACGTGTTTACCAATCCTTTTGAGACATTGCAGTGCGCTATATTTGCGTTAAAAGTTAACCGCTTCTGCTACCCTGAGCACTCAATTAGGGATAAGCAGCAGCCCGTTTATCGAGAATGACAATGTAACGAGTCTCGGGACGCCTGCTCGCCGGCGGGTCGCTCTGCCCACTGTCACCGTCTGTCGGTGAGCTACCAGGGTTCCGAGGCTCGAACACAATCAACACTGTGCTGGCTGCTCTCAAGCCGCCGGGACGCGTCCGCCCCTATTTGAATTTATCTCAACATCAACTGCGACTTACTGCTCAGCCCTGTCTCACACAGGACCGCGGCTCACCGGGCAGACACGCTTAGGGGCCACCGGGGTAGTCGCGCACACGTCGAACCCTGTGTCTGTCGCACTGGTCACAGCCGGCAAGCCCACGTGCAACAACAATCAGACTCGTCAAGCGGATAATCCTTTCCAGCTCGCCCGCTTCCTCGAACCACAATTACCACCACGAACAGCTCCACCCCGTCGTTCTCTACCCAACTACTCACTCGATCTGTGCCTTACGGTTCTGCTCAACGAATACCAGCTCTGCTCGTCCGACACTCGTCTCGCTCTCGCGCTTCTCCGGCTTTGACTCACAAAGGCCTGCAAGCCCTGGGCCACAAACATGCGCTCTGCAATCGACGCCCCACTTTGCTCGCACTCGAGCCACTTGCGCCTCACGGATCTAAATCTTAACTGAGCTCGAGCCGCCGCTCGCCGCTCAGTATCCACATTACATCCCGAGCTATCGGCTGACTCCGACGTGGAGCAGCTGCACTACTAGCCTCTCGCAGTGCTATACTTCGTCGTCTCGGGGTACACGACCACCCCATCCTTGCATTTCTTGCTCTGCTGGAGCTCCACGAACACACATTCCTAGCACTTCGACAGTAACGGCCGGTGTCGTACCCAATACAGCTGTGGGTGCAGACTGTACCGTACAGTGCCTTTTCGTGTCACGCAAGCCTCTGCCGCTCACATTCACCGCTGGTCTTGTGAAATGGCGTTGTCTCCGCCCCCCCCCGCCCCCCGCAAACGAGCTGCCCGTGTTCCGCGCCGGGTTGCAGCTGCTCGACGCCAGCAGCAGAGACCCGCTCGGTCCCTTGTACGAGTGCCCTGTTACAACAATATATATATATCGGTTTGGACGCATGTTACGTCGTATTACCAACGCTCTAACTGACGAAGAGAAGTGCGGCTTAGGATGCAACCCTGAAGTCGACACTCGCAGCCTACGTAAAGGCAGCACTATCACTACGCCGGTAAGAGCACTGCCACCGGTTGAGTCAACGTTTGACAAACAGCCTAAATATACTAATATCGCTTTGCACACGCCTGAGAAAACGGGATAATGTTTTTACACGGATGAGAATCGGGGGATCCCAGCCTCAAACCCATGAGCTCGATCTCCTCGCTGCGTAATGGCAAAAAGATAGACCAATGAGTGCTCACACGACTGTGTGGACGGCCGAAGGAAGCTCGTTCAATTTGACTGTAATGTTCGCTACTTGATCTGTCCTCTTGTGCATACCTTTAGCAATGCCTCGATCTCGAGGCCGCAACTACAGCCCCTTTGAAGACTTGGAGCTCGTCTGAGAGTGGATTACGGTGTCAACGGATGCGGCAACGGGAGTGAATCAAAACACAGAAGTTTTCTGGGCAGGCTTGAAGAATACGATGGGAGAGTCCGAATTAATTTCTGCTGCAATTGAAACAGCAACGTATGAAACGAGAGCTTGTCCATCCCCAAAACCCGTAGCGCTCTATACTTGGTCTTCAGCGAAGAAGTGTTACACCATACGCTCATATCGGTCTTGGAAGTTTCGACGCTTTTTTGCTGCTTTCCTTGGCTTTGATCCTCCTCTCTGGGGATGTGGCTCGTCGTCGCACAGTTGAGTGTGCTGGAAGCGTTGAAGACACAATTAGTTTGTCGTCTTCATCTCCGCTGCCATCCCATTCATCGAAGAAGCTGTTCCTTGTGTTTCTCCTGCGTGCTTTGGCGGTATGGCTTCATGGTTTCCCAGATACTTCACCTTTTTTTCTCGTTTCGCCGAAATTTACTCTGAACCAGTGTGAAATCTGTTTGTAGTAAATTTATTATTCTAGATTTCCACTCGCGCATTCATTCTTGCTGTTACAAAATTCTTTGCCATGTAGAGCTCGCTCTCGAGCGTGTCATGCACGTGGTCAATCGTGCAAGTACACATAACCACGCTCTTTCGTGCCCAAAGTCTTAATCATGTATTTGGGAAAGCGAGCCGTGCCAACAAGACACACAGTACCTCAATACCAGAGCACGAGTCCCCTCTAGCCGTCACTACCGTGTCTGGGATGTGCACTAGGAAGAACAGCTGAAGAACCCCTGCCACATCAAAGAGAAAATCCAATTCACCGTTACTAAGTTGAGAAGTCAAGCTTCAGATCAGGGATCACATTTTCTTATTTGCTTATGTGCTTTTGTTTTGAGATGTACCAGCTTAGCAGCTGGGACCCCGCACCATGACAGACGTTAAATCAAGGAAACTATTCCTCAAAATTTATAATTCTTTAGACAGTCTTGGCATGAATTTGTAGTTGGAGTGTGCATCAACCTTAAAAGAACCAGGAATCGATTGCTTCGAAACCTCTCTAATAAGCGAGTGACTCATTGAATAGACCAAAATGGCAAATTTGGTCAAAACTCACAATATCAGCTGCAATACATGCTCTGATAAAGTGAAGCCACTGATTATAAAATGATACTTTGTTTTAATACTAATGCTGGTACAATGTGCTTCTTTTTAAAAGAAAAAGAAGTGCTTTTTTATGAGTACTACCGGTACCTGATGCACCGGAATCCCTCTCTATACTGATTATCATTTTTCAGAAATTAGATCTGTAGCTTTCTTGTACAACATGAGTTTTAATTCCTCCCGTTTGTCATGGTACCGGTAAAATGGTGCGTGATTCACAGTCTGATACAGTATCCGAAAAGATTGCGCTCAGCGCTGAGAAACAAAATACAATCAACGATTTCTGTAGTAAGCTTACTTTATACCATGGTAGCGGATTTTTTTTCGTTGCACGCAACACCAAGTAAAACATGTATCTGATCTGATGCAGTGTAGTACATGTACCGGTACCGGTATTTGTATTATGGCTCTCCTCGTTCATTGGATTTCAACCGGTAGTAATCAGCCGTCTGGGGTTGTTAGTCGGAATGTTTTTCATTTTGCTTCTCACTTACCAAAACACAATTTGCGACTCCAGTACGATGTCCGCCTCGCCATTCGATGACTTTTCCAAAGGTCTAAGCCGAGCTTTCGAGTTCATCGTCGACCCGTTCCACCTGAAGAAAAAGGCTGAGAAAGATGCCACCGCGCCATTTGACCAGCCTTACCTCGAGCCAACACGCTGGTTCCTGACTGAAGAAGAAATGCTAAGATCTCGCAACGGATCCAAGCGCGAAGGCATGTACCTTTACTCCACGGGTAACCGCATTAAACTCTATGTTGCCTCTGCAGGTTACTTCAGTGACGTTGCCGACGACATGTCCACCGTGCGTAGCGGAGATCTCGTGTACCTCACCGGATGGGGAACCTGTAACGTACCGTTTAAGCCGCACGAGCCCGATTCCAAGCTATGTGATCTGGCTGAGGGTGCTGTGAAACGCGGCGCTGACTGGCGCATGCTTGTGTGGTCAAACCTCACCGAACGTGCACAGAACCACGAGGTACGCGACCTCATCAATGCTCTGCCACCGCCGGAAAAGTACGGTCCGGCCCGATTCGTGTACGATGATCGGTTACCGTTCCCTACCTCATCGCACCACCAGAAGTCGGTGATCGTGCGCAAGGGCCGTGATCTCGTCGCCTACGTGGGCGGTGTGGACCTCACCAATGATCGCTGGGATACTATCGAGCACGACCAGGCGGAGCTGCGTGAGCGTACGGGCATCAAATGTCAGTGGGATGGCTGGTTGGACGCCCACGCTCGCGTTGAGGGTCCTGCTACTAAGGACGTGGCTCAGAACTTCCTGGATCGCTGGAATGCTGAGCCCAAGCCAACGAAAGATCTCGGAGCCGACCTATTAGACTTTGAAAACCCGGACTACTCCAACCTTCCACCGGTTGACGAGACACCTCTGGACATTCCCCAGGACGGTACCCATGCAGTGCAGCTATGCCGTACCTTCAGTCCGGACTACGACCAGTATGGCTTCGCCCCACAGGGCGAGCAATCCATCTTCCACGCCCGCATCAAGGCCATTCGCAACGCGCAGAACTACATCTTCATTCAGGACCAGTACTTCATCCTAGTGCCGGAATTGCTGGACGTTGTCATGGAGATGATGCCCAGCATTGAGCGCCTTATTGTCATTATGCAGCGCACCGTCGAGGCTGAATACACAGGCTACGCTAAGTATCTCTATGACATGGTCGCTCCGATCCAAGAGAAGTACCCGGACAAGTTCAAGCTCTACACGACGAAAGAGTCGAAGCAGCTATACATCCACAGCAAGCTAGTGATCGTCGACGACGTGTACGTGTCGCTAGGCTCAGCCAACTGGAACCGCCGCAGTATGACGAGCGACTCGGAGATCGGCATCAACATTGTCGACACGGAGCTAGTGCAGTCACCTGACAACATCATGGTTAACAAGCTGGCGCGCAACTTCCGCATCCAGAAGTTCATGGAGGCGACAAAGCTGACGTACAACGAACTGGATGCGATGACCTTCTTCGAGGCGTGTGACGCGTTGGATGCCGCTGCGCACGACGACGGCGCCAGCATCATCGAGCCGTACAGTGTTGAGTTCAAGCCGCAATTCAACCTTGTGTCGGATGGTTGGCGCCAGGTCATCGACCCGGATGTGGTCCCGGAAGATGACCCGGCCAAGAAAATCAAGAACTTTTTTAACGAACGCAAGAACGCTCGGCAGTAGACGTTTGACATCGAAGAGCGGAAGTCTTGCTCTTGTGATAAGGATAATCCAAGATTTGATCAGGCACTACATATACTGTATCCTATAAGTTTACAGTAATACTACTAATACATGTACCGGAAAGCTACCGCAGTGCAAGTAGTACTGTAGTAATACAAGTCTTAATACATATTAATATGAACTGATGCTGCACAATATCCGGTGATTCTGAAAAACTGTTTCAGAGGAACAAAGTGTTCAACAATCGGGCAAAACAAATCACAACAACAAAGCTGACAGCGTTGCAGAAATCACAAAAAAATGCTGAAGTGTACTTTACATTACAGTACAGTATTACGTACTGATGAGCCCTTCGGTAGCAGTTACTGCTCTTGGAATACCCTCCACCAGGAATAAGACATCGGTTCCCGAAGTCTAGCAGCATACAAGTTGTACAGTATTTGTATGATCTTACTCTCGTAATATGGAAAACAAAATTACCACAAGTGACTGTTCTGAGGTCCTTTACTATGTGAAAGTCACTTTTCCAATACACAAGACATCAGCGTAAGAGGGGGCAATCATGTATTATTCACACGAGCCCAAGATTGAGGGCGCGGTGAGGCGGGTTAGCTTCGAGCGAGAAAGTCTTCGAGTGAGGAAGTCCCCATTCGATCGCCTGCATAGTCTATGTCAGTCTATCACTAGTCTTTGGTGTTTTTCCTCTTGTCGCTCGAAGCAGAGACTTGCTGATTGAAAACCTCAATATCCATCTAGGATATTTCCCATTTCCAATACACAAGACATCAGCGTAAGAGGGGGCAATCATGTATTATTCACACGAGCCCAAGATTGAGGGCGCGGTGAGCATCCCCCCTCCATAAGGATGTGCTCGTCGCGGTGTCAGAGTTGGGCTGGACCGAATACCTAGTCGGCTTCTAGATCATTCGGCGCGACAGCCCCATAGCAGCCTCAGCAGCTAGTACAGGATAGCTCTCATAGCTATTGCTCATCCAGCGACCAAGTAACTTAATAGCGAGACTGTCGGCCTCCCCACTGAGCAGAGCGGTTGCGCCCCCGATGCGAACCGAATGGGTAGAGTAGCTTTCTGGTGGGACTCCTAGTCTTGCTGCCAGGGCCTTCAACGCTTGGGTCACTTCCTCGGCGCTGAGATCCACGCACAAATATGGCGCCGTGTCGTACCCCAATTTCTTTCGCGCTTGCAGAATGTGGCTAAGTGCTCTCTTCGGACACAGCAAATTGTCTCCGGTCGCATGCATAGTCCTCCAAGCACCCCGACCAAATTGATCATTTTTTGCGCCAGTCAAACCGATCGTAACTGCTGTAGCAGCTTTGTATGAACTCCGATAGCCTCGATGATCCGAAAAATATGTGTTGTCAATCCTGAGACAGTACGCGTGCCGGCCTGACTCCACTCGGAGATACTCAGAGCGCCGAAGTAAGAAAAAGAAAGCCAGCAGGACGGAACCCCACAATAGGCGGCTACGGGGGCGATCGAAGTCGAGATGTCGATGTAGCAGCCGGAGAAATGCTGGCGTGACTGGCTGCTTTTTCCCCACTGGGTCTGAGAGTCTCCTAATTCCTCGCAATAGAACGTCGAGATCGGGGCCATGCTTGACTTCCACTCCAGCGAAGCGTCGATGGTACCACCTGATACTGGAGAGCTTAAGTACGATAGTTCCGTATTGGTTACCGCCGGATCGAGGGCGCCAGCCGTATTTCCAACAGTAAATAGCGATTATTCCTAGCTTGGAGCTGTTCTCCTGTAAATTGTTGCTCAACCATTGCGACCACTTCATATACTTAGCGAATCGTACCCACTGATTCCAATGTGCGCGATAGATAGTGTTGGTAGACTCGGCGATGGCGTGGCCACGCAGCATTGATCCCAGAAGCGTGAGAGATTCTCGAAGGGCGCGGGCACCTGCACCTGTGTCCATCCACACGACAAGTCAGTCCAGGTTTTGTAAAGTGCATGGTCCGTACTCCAGGCTCGTGAACCCGCATCCGCCATAGTATTGTCGACACCAGGTACGTGGCGGGCCGTGCATGCCAGTGAGTATTGAAATTCAGCAATCGAGAGTAATCTTAGATACGTTTGAGCTCGTGCTCGGCTACTGGACCGGCGTCGCGCCCATGAGACGGCGCTGGCATTGTCTATCCAGAAGCATACGTGAACCTGTTGTCGGCGAAACTGCTGCGCCCACGCCGGGCCCCAAATGAGTGCTGCAAGAACGCCACTTTGAAGTTCCCGTACATTAATCGAGTTAGCCGCACAGTCTGCTTGAAATTCCTTTTTTGTTGCGGCTGTAAACCGTACCCGGACATATTGACGGAGTTGTGGCTCTAGAACGCACAGTCCTTCGTCAGAGGCGTCCATGTGCACGTGCACCATCACTGTAGCCTGCCCTGAGAACTGGGACACCGGGATTCCGTTAAATCTATCGTGGTGTTGCAGGATATATCGAAACCACTTAAGGTCCTCAAGCGTTTGCTGACACAGCGTAATACGAGCGTAGCGCTGCGCACCGGACGCCACAGATTGGATTCGCTGATAGAAAGCCCGGGCTGGTGGACAGCAGGAAGATATGTGTCGGAGTGAGCCTAAGAGCTGAAGCAGACCGGTTTTTGTAGACGCGCCACTGACGATAAGGGCATCCACTCGGCCTTTGGCCTTCTTCATCTTATCTGGCGGAATGGTGACTGTACCGGCTTGAGTATCCCAGTTGAGGCCAAGTGCCCGCCCTTGCTGCTTCCAGTCGGTAAACTTGCGTGTATTGATCGCAGCCGGACCCAGAACCGTCGCCATCGCTCGGCGTAACGCGATGTTTGCTTCAAAGCAGCGGAGGCCGTCCTCCACTTCAACGCAGGTGTGGTCGTCACACCAGAACAGCCCAGTCAGGGGGCGAGAAGATGCTGCCATCGAGACTGAGGTCTCTTCGTAGAGACGGTTGATGATCATGCCGGGGACGAAGTACCAAGCTGGGGACCCACACCATCCAAACCCACACGCTAAATCTACGACCAAATATTCTCCGATCACGAATGTGAACATGTGCACATGGTCAGCGTGAATTGGCACGTGTCGGAACGCGCCCGATACATCCCCAAGCATCATCAGGATATGGGCGCTCGGGTAGTCTCTGCGTAGAGTCAAAATTCGACGAGCGATGTCCCCGAGAGGGTTGTACTTGATTACCGGAAAATTTGCTCGATCAGTGAAATCGTTAATGGATGCACCTTCAGGAAATGAGTAATCATTGATGATTCGGACGTCTGTGCCGTCCTTTTCGACGACTCCGACCGGCGAGACGTATATGTCCTGCCACTGCTCCGCCAACGATGCTTGCACCACGATGTAGCGGCCTTCCTTCTGACCCTTACGAATATGTGTCCATATTTGCGGGAGGTGTTGGTGGATGGAGGTATGGTTGCGTGGACGTGATTTCTGTCGGGCAGGGCGCGTAGATAACCACTCCGGTGATACTCCATGGGCGACGACCTCGTTCCACCGACGCCACGTATCTACTAGCGAGGGGTCCTGGGGTCGGGGCAGCTCATACAGATCCTTGTTCGGGCGGGGATCATCTGTAGTTTGTCCCCGCACCAGGCGGACAAAGTCTGCCAATGAGAGGGCGGAGGCGATAGCGAGATTGGTATGGAACGCGACCATGTTGTCATCGATTCCCGTCGTAAGCTCCTCCCCCAGCAACTTCAGGGGCTTTACGCCGTATTTTGCTGCAGTCATCGCCACTTCTTTCGCAGTCTCCGTCTTACAATACGCACTAAGTGTCTCTAAATTGTTCATGTATTTGTTGTGTGTCGCGGTCATCCGCTCACGTACAGCATTGTCGTTTGATTCTAGACTAGCTGCAGTTGGACACAGTGGAGAAGTGTGCAAAGGTACGCCGGAGACCCTTCCACGTCAGAGGTCGACGAACTCCGGTGCGAGTCCGCCGAAGTGGGTCTCAATATGGGTCTTGGCTTCTGGAGAGAGTGACTTGGGCCGAAAATGTGCGCGGTACTTTGAAAAAAACTTTCCTGGGACACCGTTTCCATTGCACCCAGTTTTTGACAGGTACTTGAGGCACAGCTCGAGCGATCCTTGCTTCGGCAAAGTGCGCGTCAGGCTCTTGGGTACTCCGCTACTTTGTCTGGTCGGCCGAGACTCTCGCGGCCGGCTATGCATCGAAGTGGTCGCGTGTTGTTGCGCTTTCAGCATAGCCTCCAGCTCAATCAGTTTGGCTTTTTGTAGATCATAGAGCAGTACCGCCAGTAGCGAGTCGTGAAGGGAGAACTCGTCTTTGACTAGGATTGCTACTGCCAGGCCGTCAGAGATGACTAGACCACGAAACTTGCCCAGCTTCATATTGATCCATAGCAGAAGGCGCTTCGTTGTTTCTCAGTCCGGTTCATTTTCGTCAGCGAAATCCTCAATAAACTTGACAGCATCATTCAGAACGTCCATAGTGTCTGCGTTGTAAAACTTCCTTCCGAATTGACGGAGATTAGTAAGCGCATCCATGAACACTGTGTACGAAGGGTCGGTTGTGGCTGATTGGAGGCCGTTCTTCCTGGAAAAATCTGTCATATTGATCACGGAACCGGACGCATCCAGCGGTGTCGCTCGCCGTACGCGCTCAAAGTGCATGACGGAGAGGCCGCGAACATGAAATCCGAAATCAAATGCCCCGCGTAAAACGGGCGGAGCTCCTCGGATGCGAGATTCACGGGCCTGTGTACATTCAAGAATACATTGAGCGTCCTTACCTTGGTTGTCGGTGTGGCCGATGACGTTGTAGATCTGCTGCTCAAGTGTCGTTGGGCGAAACGTCGTTGCCGAGCGCCCACGCGCCTCCTCCATTGCCAACATTGATGCTGTCCCGCCTCCGTTAGTGACGGTACCACCGGCGGGCACCGCATCGTGGGTCAATGAACGGTTCTGCTGCAGCACGGCGAGTACGTCGGCATCGTCTTCATCACCTGCTTCCGACGACGTCGACACGCCCATGGGCGTCTCTCCTAGCTCCGTAGCGTCTGCACTTGCCTGGGCCGCCAGCGTCCTGCGTCGCGTGACTGGCCGCTTGTCTTGTACGTCCACGTCTGAGGATTTGCGCTTTTGCGCGACATTTGAGCCTGTACCGGCAGGGGGTTCGAGCATACTGGCACCTGTTTTACTCTTTTTGCTACGCGCACAATCCAGAACGTGTTGTCGTGGGACAGACACGACAGCCAGCGTGTCAGCTCGTATGACAGGTACCAGGGCGTCTCCCTCAAACGGAATAGTTAGCGTTTTGGCGAGCTTTGGCGGCAGAGCTCCACGGCTCTTCCCCCACTGAGCGCACGCTTCGTCCATCAGTACTAGAAGCTCTTCCCCGTTGGTGGCGGAGGCGTTGCTTCCCGCTCCGGTCTGCAGAACGTAGTTGATCCAGTCCACCTTGATGACATTAGGCGGCTGCTCTAACTTGATTTGCTTTGCATCGTCTTTGCACCGAATGTGAAGCCACGGCTGGTGCTTGAACATGTGATATCCGGTGACGAGACCGACTGTCCATTCATCCATGCCGATACCATCGGGCTGGATAAAGGCGATCGGATGTCCGACGAACATGCCGGGCCAGAGACCACTCTCCTCATCGGTGACCTGGCGGCGCCGCAGTACTGACACCTCCACTTCATTATCAACATCTTCATCGTCGTCAAGCCTAACGATGGCTACTGTTGCCTTGGATCCGTCCACACTCAGCACTCGTACGTAGCGAAACTCGGTAAGCGAGGGTAGTTGCGCTGGCCCAAGGAAGGCGAGCGATCCAGGCGAGATAGCAGGTTGCGTCATGATTCCGAGCAGGCGGGTTAGCTTCGAGCGAGAAAGTCTTCGAGTGAGGAGGTCCCCATTCGATCGCCTGCATAGTCTATGTCAGTCTATCACTAGTCTTTGGTGTTTTTCCTCTTGTCGCTCGAAGCAGAGACTTGCTGATTGAAAACCTCAATATCCATCTAGGATATTTCCCAATTGTGCAGCACGTCCGAAGTAGTATGTTCTGCATTATCCTTTTTAGGACCACCAGACTGATTTTTTGCCAAGGCAGCAGCAAATGCCATCCGTGTTTTGTCCTTTTTGCCGGCCATGCGCTTTCTGGCGAGGGTTCGTTTAGAGAGCACCAAACCGAAGTCGTCTATGATAAAAAAAGTTTCGCATTTCGTACTTCTTTAGCTTACGCTGCAGGTCGATGATCGAGGCGTTCTCGGCGGATCCAACATAGCTCTTGGGACACATACCGTCCTCCAGCATGTGTTGCTGCCAACACACACCGAAGGTTGAACGTGTAAAACTGCATCTTATGCCATGACTTGCCGGCTAGCTTGATCTGAAGTTGTCTCCAGTGCCTTAACGCTTCAGTGCCTAGACGGCTCCTTGAAATGGCCGCTGTGGTAGCGACAAGATTGCATGAGCCCACTCGGCTACCTGTTGTTGTTATAGGTTGGGTGGATGGCATGATGCTGGCAAACCTGCCACGCTATGATAGCATTTGATGCGGGCTGGTCACAGGCTTGACTGACATTTCGGTGGTTTTACAGTACTGCACCCCGTTTCCGCGCCCTTGGACCTTTGATAAACTTCCGGATGTGATGATCCTGAATCCAAATGATCGATTGTTTGAAAGCTCATTTATTTGCAAATCCAATGTGGTCCACCCCCGCGAAAACGGGGTGCAGTACTGTACCTCAATTGAAGAGTGGAAAAGAGCTAGATAACCATTTGTTGAAGTGCAATTTTTGCACTTTAACCTTAACAAGATTTTTTAAGGACAAAAATGAGGACCAAATTTCAGTGGCCCTGATTGATGTGTCCTGCAGATTTATAGTCAAATGCAAGAAACAAGATAAATGTTTGTCATGTCTTCTTCGTTATCCTTCACGAACTTGACTCAGTGATAATCGAATCGGCTTCACTACGCTACTTGAAATCTTGCACTCCTAAGACTGATTTCACTGAAGTTTGTCCTAAAGTTTAGGACAAATTGCTGTTTGCTCGGCTTGTCACCTTGACTACTGGCTGCAAGCGCAATGATCGTCGGCGATGCCTGTTCGTTAAGCGAACGCTTGGTGCTCGTCGATTCGGAGGATCCAATACTCTGGATCGCTTTCTGGATGGAGGCGGTGCTCTGTTTTCGTTTGACTTGGTTGACTTGAGATGGTGTGACCTCTTGCATGGGTCTGGCAGCTTCCTTTCACGATGAAAAATTTCGAAACAGGACTCGCCATCACTCCATCTTGCTGCGCGACAAAGTGAAACATGGCAGATATCACACTCAAAGCTTGTTTTGTACCCTTTACGCGTGTGATTGCCATTTTCACTGTCGTGATTCATTTGACAACAGATAATGCAGCATCTCTGACGTGCACCCTGGATCCGGACCTGTAGTTGAACGGTTTGATTGGATACATTATTATGAGCAGATGAAGCGACAATTGTCCCGTACCTCATGGTGATCATTACTTTTAGAGAGCCGAAGATGAATCCACTCTGTGGATGACTCGAAGTGATTTCGTTTGTTGTACGCGAATGAAAGCTCCAATGTCGGTGGACCTGACCGATTCTCCTTGTCTCGAGCATCGCTAAGTGGGCGCAGAGAGCCTGCCTTCTTTGAAAGCACAACGGCAGCTTCTCGGCAAAATGCGGCAAAACTGGGGAGATGTTGCTTGTGTTTCTGATAGGCCTTGTAGCTTGTACATAGTCCTCGATTCATCAAAAAACCGTGTGACTGCAAGAATCACAGTTAGAACCCATATTCTGCGCGCGAATTGTGAGCTGCTAGCTACCTGGAATAACAGAAACGACTGGTAGGCATTGTACACTAGAGTCATGAGCAGACGAAGCCAAATTGTTGCACTAGATGTCAGTCGGAAATGCTTGGACTTGACATTCTTCAGATATCTTGAATAGACATCGATCCCCCCCTTGACACGATTCCACAACGCAATTAAAGTTGGCATGATATGCTTGGCTGGAGGGAGTGGGTTTTGCCGCTCGTTGATAAGTTTCACTAATGCCCTCCATAACCCCAGGGTTTGTACCAGCGTGGCTTGATCAACACAGTGTCCTAATTGCTCAGTTTCAAACTCGGGAATGCTGGCGGTTTCTGTGTAAACCCACTCCATGAAGCCCCAATGCAATTGCCTTCAATGCACTCTGGTAAGTGTGAGATGCACTCTCGCTCACGACAACGTGAACAACTCGAATGATGTATGTAGAGGATGCATACACAAGGTATCCATGTGTGATCCCACTGCAAGCAATGCTGTGCGGTATCTGGAGGCGGTGACTGGACTCTGGAATCACTGCGTTCAATCGGAAGCCGGATCCCATACCAGTCAATTCTACTGTCGTGAATATACCATAAGCTTTAGCAGCAGCTTGTTCCTGCTGAACTATGCGAGCAGTAGCTCGAGTTTTGTACTCCATTACTGCATTGAATCTCCCACATCGCACAGACACGATGGCAGCAATATGATCCGGTGAGAAAGCAGTTACTGGCATATTTCTCCTAGAGAAAAAATTAGTTTCTTGTCAGACCCGATTATTATTTTGCTTCACTTACTTGCACAGTAAACCGTATTTTCTGAGCTCCTCGATATGATAGTGTGTGTGTATATCCAGAAATAGCGTGATGTGCGAGGCAATATTGACTTCGTTGGCGGTCCCAATCTTTGTAGATGGTGTTGAAAACGGCGCCATGAACCAAGTCGATAAAAGGGCTGAGTCAGCTGCATATCTGGAATCTCGCCGAATATTGCGACCAGGAAGAGCCTTCCCAGCATCATTTTGAAGAAGTCGAGCAATTAACGTTGCTTTGTTTCCAGATACACGAAGTCCCAGGTCACGGCATAAGGTTTTTAGATCTCCCAGCGTTTTCACGATTAGCTCTGCCTCAAGCAGCGGTGCTCCTGCGTTTTCACTGCTTCTGGTCTGGGCGGGACCCGGCTGTTGGCGATTACTTCCCAATGACAGTTGCAGTATCACTGCCTGAACATCAGGATCATCGACTGGATCACCTCGGTTACCATCACCGTAACTGTGAGCAATGGCGCTAAATATTTTGCAGCAACCGAGCCCGTAATGCGAAACTTCCTGAGTAAAAACCAATCTGTAGTTCTTTGCTCCATCGTCAATTTCTGAATACCGTCTTCAAAAGCTGTAAACAACTCCTCCCTACGAAGTGAGACTCGCTTCAGTGTCCGTGATACATAAGACCAGTTATCAGGTCCCGCGCTGGCAAACGTTGTGTAGCCTAATGCCACTTTTCCAAGCCCTGACCGGTATGCAAGTGCGTGTGCATTTGCAGGAAGCATCCCTGGTTGAACTGGTATACGTTTGGTGGCCCAATACGCAGCACGATCTCCTTTCTCTAATACTAATTTCGGTACTGACTTGGTGTTTTGCCAAATGTAAAGGGAAACTTTTGTGTGCGCTTATGGGTACCGATGATACTTCCACCAGTGTCAACAATTTGTTGGTTGACAGCATGAGACTGATAACCTCTGTCCAGCGCGTGAAGAATACCTGGTAGTCGAATTTGGCTCTCCGTCGATGATCCACAGAGTGATCGCTGAAGAATCCTCACAATGTCCACGGTTGATTCGCCGTTGGCAGCCACATGTCCACCCAAAAACAAGCCTGTAACCAGCGATACCACGCCATGCTGCACTGGGCCGTATCTGCCAATCATTCGCTTGGTAAGATCAATTACCTCACAGCATAACACGATCATTAAGTACAGTACCCCTTTTTCGGGTTGCGCACGTGCGTAAGGCCAATATCGTCCACTGCCTTTGAGCGCAAGCGGATCAAATCATCATTTAACGTTGCTATCGCTGTTCCATCCACAAAACCAATGTCTGCGGATAGCCGCCGTGCGAGTTCGTATGCATAAGAGATGTCTCTGTCAGGTGTGAGCGGTGCCGTCCATTGGTCGGATCCTCCTTCTTTTGTAAACGGATTGCCACTTAAAGCTGCCAAAATAGCGCGATATCTGGGCAGCGGTAGTGCCTCTTCAGCAGGTGGATACAGAGCCCTATTGCTCTCGTCGTAGAAGAAGTCCGGGGTTACACCATAAACACTTAGCCAGAGCTCGACCTCAAGAAACTTGTAGATGTCATCTGTAGATGCTGCTGCATAATCAGCCAGGCTCCTGCTCACAAAGATCAGGAGCCTTGCCAGCACAGTCGAATCCAGCCACACGAACAGGAAACTGGAAACGCTAACACCGTCGAGGTGATGCTGTGTAGTACCGAACATTCGCTGCAATATTCTTTTAGCGACCTGGCCAGCTTCTTCACGTGTCTTATCCAGCAAAAACGTATCGACATTGTCTACTTGAATGCGCTGGTTTATCACGTTGGGATACTTCCAGGATCCCAGGACCTCCTCTTCGTCTTTGCTGTCGGATCCAAAGACGTACGGAACCTCTTCAGACGACTCGCTGTCAGACATGATGCCTTGGGTGCTTGTGTAAACGTGCAGCGCGACGAGCGCTGCGGGAATACGGAATGCGGGCGACGCACGCTAGCGGAGTGACCATCATTCTTTTATGTCCTTAAAAAATGGGGTTAAGGACAAAAGTGACGTGACTTTGTGCGCTCCAAAAACGATTTGGTCCTCTTTTTAAGGACAAAATTTGTTGGGGTTAACAAATGGTTAACTAGCATCAGTTTGTTTAGCGATGGCCATTTAAAAAAAAATGGTGTTCATGTGTACCATCTAGAAGGTACACTTGACTTTTCAGTAGTACCCTTAGAAAATAATAAAATGTTGGCTCCCCGCGCTATGACTACGGAAGGGCTCATCTGTATGTACTGTAGCCTTTCTGCAAGATTTGTGTCTGCTTCAGATTTGCGACAACTTGTTTACGCCGCAAGCAGCGCGAGTCGCGCGCCGCGACCGCACCATGATTCTTGGAGTGAATGCTGGTCTAGTACATGTACTTGACCTTGATTTCCTTCGTTCATGCAAGTAAATAACACAAGTACATGTAAATTATATTATCTGCGTCAAGCGAGTATTTACCCCAAAACCAGTTCCAATGTGCTGGACCAACAGAATCGAGTGTGTGTCATTCGACCTGCAGACAGGGCTCCCCACACAGCAAGACCACTCGTCGAGTGGTCTCGAGCATCGTTGCAGATTACTGTACATGTTCCCTTGACTTGACTGGAATCTTGCTTGCACCGTGCATCATCATGAATCTTCCACCCTGCTTTGTTGCTTGTCACAATAGAATTTGCAGATCGCTGCGAAGGGCGATGCCGCTCCAGCTTTCCCTCCGTATCAAGTGCCTCATCATAGGCGTTCTCGCTGCTGCCGCCGTGATAGCGTGGTTGGTGATGGCTCTTGCGGACACGAAGCCGGATCTGCGTCCAGTTGTGTTGCTCACAGGCGACTCGCTCACAGAGCACGGTACCAACGTGGAACTAAGCGGGTGGACTGCCTTGCTACAGCAACAATACTCGCGCACCGCGGACGTCGTAACGCGAGGGCTACCGGGTTACAACACGAAATGGTTTCTCAAGAATATTGTACCGACGATCCAGCGCGAGATCAGGAAGGAAGTGTACGTGACGCCGTCGCTGATTACGGTCTGGTTCGGTGCCAATGACGCAGCTTTGGCTAGTGGCTACGACTCGGACACGCATGTCCCTATTGCCGACTACAAGGAGAATTTGAAGGAGATCGTTCGCCATTTTTCGACAACCGCGCCCAAAGCGGATATTTTACTCATCACCCCTCCGCATGTGAATGATGCCGCTAGGGCTGAGATCGCCAAGGGCCAGAACGGAACGATTGACCGCACCAACGCTATGGCGAAGAGATATGCCCAAGCTTGCGTGGAGGCAGGGGCCAGTATCGGCGTTCCAGTGGTGGACTTGAACTCGTATTTTAATGCTTTGAACGAGACGACCCGAGACGCGCTGCTGATATCGGACGGTCTGCACTTTAACTCTTCAGGGAACAAATTAGTGTACGAGCAAGTGAAAAGTAAAATTGATGAAGTGTTTCCAAGTTTAGCAGCAAAACTCAAGCTGTGGCAGTTCCCAGGAGCGATCAAGTATGCTGAGGCAGATCCGTGGACATCAGGGGATGGCGAGCGATGAGGCTAGGCATGGGTAGTAAGTTAACTTATTTTGCTTAAATAAGATACAGGATATCAAGATTATCTCTAAAGAACACAAAGTGTGTGGATCCTGACATACAACGATTCGTACTCAGCCTCCTCTTCACACTTTGTGCTTACAATACTCTACGAAGTGTTATGCCCCCCCCCCATAACTTCTGGGGGGCTGAGTGCATCGCAAGCTTCAATGACAGTCAACTTGCTTTCGACTGTCCACCTGATCTGCTTTGCATTCCAGTGCTGACGATACTTCAAATACAACAGTATCACTCTAGCTGAACTTGAGATAAACAGCGGTATTTTCATGCGAATCAAAGTGCATGGCTGTTCTGCTGACGACAGTAGTCGATCCATGAGCGTGAACGCTTCATCGCAGAAAACATCTCTAGGAGGAGGAACTGGGAAGTCGATCATGTATTAATACCTGACCACTCTGGGACGATTCGTGCCAGTGCATCAAGCTGCCATCAACTCCACTCGCAGGCTGGGTTTCACTAGTACAAGGCGCGAACCCTTCATCATCTTTGTCCGCGTTGACTCCGATGTGGAAATACATGTACGTCGCATATTTTGCTGATGCACGGCATTTCGCCCGAGCGAACAGCGCGATCTTCCGCTAAGGTAGCAGCTCACAATCGAATTTTCCCCAAGATGGTGTTACATGTATCAGTCCGCGTCAAGAGTGTCCTACTTGTCTTTATGGCTACTGCTGCGGTGGTTGCATTTTTTATCATCGCTCTCGCCAATACCAAACCAAGTATCCGCCCTGTGGTGCTGTTGACGGGTGACTCGCACACGCAGAAGGGGACCAATCCAGCTGAGAGTGGCTGGGTATCGTTGCTGCAGAATCAATTCGTCATGACTTCGGACGTCATTACTCGAGGTCTTCCAGGGTATAATACCAAGTGGTTTAGCAAGTTCATCGCGCCATCCATTAAACGTGAAATCCAAGCGGGGGTCTACAATACTCCATCACTCATCACAGTCTGGTTCGGCAGCAATGACGCTGCTCTGGCCAACGGAACTTCTTCCAAAACCCACGTCTCGATCGAAGATTTCAAGGAAAACTTGAAAAAGGTCGTCCGGCAGTTTTGGACAGCAGCTCCAGCCGCAGATATTCTGCTGATCACCCCACCACACGTGAACGACGCTGCGAGGGCCGAGCTCTCTGCAGAGAAAAATGGGACGATCGACCGCACGAACGCCATGGCCAAGGAATATGCTCGCGCCTGTGTAGAAGTCGCTGATGCTGTCGGTGTTCAGGTTTTAGACTTGAACACGTTTTTTAACACAATGCCAGAGTCGAGCAGAAATGAATTGCTTCAGGCTGATGGACTCCACTTGAATTCTAAGGGCAATATTCTAGTGGACGAACAGCTACGACGCAAGATTGCCGACAAGTTTCCCAGTTTAGGGAACAACCTTGAGGTGTGGCAGTTTCCAGCAGCAAGTCACTATGCGGAAGAAGATCCGTGGATTGCAAATGTAGATAGATGATGACTCGTTAAAGTTACAGTATCAGCGAGTTTTTATTGTGAGTACCATAATACATAAAATTTAGCTACAAATCGTGGGTGGAAATATATTAGGAGCTGGTCCAAGAAAAATCGTAGTTAAACGGAGCACTACAGTACGAGCTTCGTAATTTACGCAGATAAAATACCCCGCGACATCTCAATTTCTAAAATGTTCCTCCCGCCCCCGTTCGCCCTGAGCCTTTAAAGTGAATTTGGCATCAGGAGTGAGGTACGGCTTCGCTTTTAGAGGAGGTTCTATTGAGGTGGGGCATGCATTTGACGTCCATTGTATTGTGAATAGCAGGTGCATTCATCACATGAGCGACAGTGAGCCGGAACTGCAAGTCCCGTCTAGTAGCGCATGGGTCTGCCCGCCGATTGACACGGACTGGCATACCGACTGGTCAGCGGTTCGTGCCTACATGGGAGACTATCAAGCGGGCACTCACCGGATTTCCCGTCGGCGAACATCCACTTCCGTGCGAAAGAAGAGCCAGGAGATCGCCAGTCAGACTCAACTACGGACCAGCGTCGCGACTGCGGAAGATGGAGGAGACTCGGTGAAATGAGGGCCCTGTGGGCGCCTGATACCTGACGAATACTAGAACTCCTGGATAAATCTGGTATGCACGCACGGACGGAGTCGCAAAAGTCGCGGGGAGGGGATACGCAAGTCCTACTTTGAGAAGTCAACAGGGTGCGCGGCAAACGTGAAAGCAGCTGTGGTGTTAAACGACAGTGACGAGACTTTCATGGTGCGAATCACCGGCTTCGACGTCAAACACAATCACAAAACCTCGTCAAAAGTAGTCAACGAGAATCATGTCTCCAACCACCGTTTAGAAGACCCAAACATCTTGGTGTTTGTGGACAAGCTTTAAGCGACGGTATCGAGACCGAAGATGATCATGCAGTATCGGCATAAGAAGACGAGTGTGTTCGGCTGTATTATGAGGGTATTTATAGGTTGGCGTCTCATTTGTGTCGCTTCACATCGTGAGGCAAGGATGTGACGTTCCGTGATGTACACAACATGGTGGCAAGAATCCGAGAGAAGTGAAGAGGCGGAACCAGGACAGAAGAACGTCAGGAAATGGTGTTACGAGGGCATTGTAAATGTCGTGGCAATCGAGCAACGGTGTATCGAATAGCCTATAGTATCGAGATAGAGAGATATCACTTTAAAGATTGTATGGCCGGTGTCTACTGCTTTTCGTGTATGGATTTAATGTCAGCGTACTACCAATTTCGGATGAAGATGGATCATGTCAAGTACACAGCGCTCCATGCCCCAAGCGGTCTCTACGAATACCTGGTGCTACCTATTGGAGTCACCAATGCTCCTGCGACCATGCATCGGTTGACGTCGTCATTGTTCAAGGAGTTGTCGCACACTAGATCATTTTACGTTGACATCTACGTGTTTACGAAGTCAAAGAACATTGACGAGCACTTGCGAGCTCTGCGTGACGTGTTGGAGATTGAACAAGCGGTATGTGAAGCTGTCCAAGTGTGTGTTCTGCGCTAAAGAGATCCCGTGTCTTAGTGATTTTATTGGTCGTAACGGAGTTCACATCGACCCAGACAAGGTGCAGACAATCCGAGATTGGCCAGCACCAAGGACACAAAAACAGCTTCACAGCTTCCTCGGTTTGACCGGATACGTCCAACAATTCTGCGATCAGTACGCTGAGCTGACAGCACCGCTGTTTACGCTATTGAAAAAGAAGAACCAACGCAATTCGTAGATTACGCTCAACGCAGTGCAACTTAAGAACTTCAAGGATCTGAAACGACGACTCTCAGATATGCCGGTGCTGCAATTACCTGATTTCACGGCACAGATGCACTTACGTACAGATGCAAGCCAGTTTGCGGTGGGCGGTGTGCTGTTCCAAGTCGTCGATGGGGTCGAGCGACCAATCGCATACACCAGCCGGAAGACGAAACCAGCGGGGCTCGAGTACCCGACCCAACCGCAGGAACTACTTGCAATTGGCAATGCTTTAGCAGCGCTTCGAATCTACTGTTTAGATCGACCGGTAATGATCGAGACGGACCACAAGTCACTCGAGGGCATTTTCCAGCAGAAGATGGCAAATTGACGGTTGGCTCGGTGGTACGACATCCTCGCCGAATACCATCCAGTTCTCGCGTATTTACCTGGAGCGAAGAATGGTATTGCGGACGACCTGAGTCGAAGACCAGATCTTAAACCTGAAACAAAGAAGTTCAATGATTTACTTGTCCCAAATTTCAACGAGACGAGTTAGTAGCTTCGCGTTGCGGAAATTCGACCTACGAACGACCTTATCAAGTCCGTTATCAGCGGGTATACAAAAGACAAAGTCATTCGGGAGATTCGACGCGCGATCGAGCGGCATGGTACGACATCAGGTGTTTGTGGTGTACCTAAAAAAACAGTGCAAGCCTTTCTTCGAGGAGAAGAACTTACTCTGGTATCAAGGAGCGACCGACGAAAAATCTCGGATCGTTGTCCTGAACGTGATAGCGCTGAAACATCGCGCTATCGCTGAAGTCCACGACTCCAATTACGGTGGTCATCCCGGCACGGATCGCACATACATGAAGCTACGTGCTGACTGGTATTGGCCGCAGATGGTCCGTACGATCAGGAAATACATTACCGATTGTGAAGAGTGCAGAAGGAACGAGCCTCGAATGACGAAGACCCTGGGAAGTTGAAGCCTCTACAGATTCCGGAAGAACGATGGCGTTCGATTTCAATGGACTTTATCACGGACTTACCGGACACGAAGAGCGGGAAGAACTCGATTTGGGTTGTTGTGGATCGGTTAACCAAGCGTTTGCATTTCATCGCGACGACGAAGACGGTTTCTGCACAAGAGGTCGCGACACTGAGCATCGACAACATCTGGAAGCTTCACGGTCTGCCGCAAGACATTGTGTCGGATAGGGATACCAAGTTCGTCTCTGGATTATGGAGCCAAGTTTTCGACAATGTGGGCATCAAACTCAAGATGACAGTAGCATACCGAGCTCAAGGTGATGGACAAACAGAGAGGATGAACCGGACACTAAAAGAGAGCCTCCACTGCTCGTATCCCCGCGACAGGATGACTGGGATGGGCACCTTGCGAATGCAGCGTTTTCCATCAGCTCAGCCGTCAGCTCGAGCATCAAGATGTCGCCATTCGAAGCCGACATTGGCTACGTCCCGCACAACCCACTCTCTGCTGTTGCCGAATCAAGTCGACGAGGATTGCGCGGAGGACGGCGTCAAGGCGCTCTGTTAATGGAGCATCAAGCAGCCGTGCTTCGCCAGTGTCAAGATGCATTAGAAGAAGCTCAGGCTAGGACGGCCGACGTGTACGATCGTGGGCGCAAGGAGCAGGAGTTCAACGTTGGTACTCAAGTGTACCTTAGTATCAAGAATCTGGACACGGCACACACGGGATTCCCTAACTCACGCAAGCTCGGC